CGCGGAATACACTCTCTCGTGCAGCGGGGAAGGAAGCCAAGGACTCCACAACACGAATTGAGAAATAACCAAACCACAGCAATAAAACTGGTAATACTTTTAAAAACAACATTTAGATACTTGGCTAATCATTTGGTTCAATGAACATTTTGAAAACGAAAGTCCTGGTAATAATGCAAAGTAAATTTTTAGATAAACGCATTGAACGCCATTGTTAGATTTCTTTTCTAAACTCAAATACTTTTTCAATTCCAAAATCTTAAAAGCAGACAGATTGAAACAACCATATTAATGATTCATTAATTGGATTGTTGGTGAAGTAGATACCTCTTTATTATGATAAATAAATAAAGATATTGTCAGGTATCAATATTTTAATTCAATTTCATACAACAAAATATTGATACCTGACAATATCTTTATTTATTTATCTTAATGATTCATATTAATAATTCAAAAAAATATTTTGAAATTGAACACACATGCCTACATGCGATAACTTTTTGGTTTCCACACGTAGTGATATTTTGTTATTTTCTGTGTAGCCACGATATTAATCGGCATTTATAATGCATGATAATTTGCACTATTGTAAAGCCAAAAAAGTATGTTATATGAAGACGTGTACGTATATTTCTTGAGAAGTTATCAGAAACTGTAAGAGATTTAAAAACTTTAAGCGTTGAAATCCATGAAAGAGAAGCTGCAGGACGGAGTGAGTACCGGAGGAAGTCGAAAGGGCACCTCCCTAGTGTTGTAGGTATATTCGGAATTTGCAAAATGCAAAATGTTTGGTGTAGCACAAAATCACTCACTCTGATCTTCAAACACACAGAAGTCACAAAGGCATAAAGCGCCTGGAGTCGAAATCACGCCGCTGGGGTTTCTCGTGTTGAAATGGTGGTCTTTGATTGCTGTCGTGTTCATGCGACCAACTCAGCACCGCTGCAACCCAAATGCTGTCTTCCCTGTAACTCGCAAGAGCTTCCGTGCGGGTACTCTTGCTCTATCCGAACGCTGAAGTAATAAGGCGCCAGACAGCGACCCCTGGGTCATGGGAGCAGCTGCGCGCGGCTGGATGCGCGTGTGGGGTGGGAACATCCGCTTCCGGTGGCCATTTGCACACAGAGGGCGCGCGCGACGATTCCCGCGCGAGGACAGACGCCGACGGCTCCGCGGGCGAGCGCTGCGCGGGAGGGCTGGAGTGGAGTCACGTGGCTCTGCCTGCAGATGCAACCTTCTTCTCCGGAAACAACATTTAAACACTTTTATTTAATTCCCACTGTTGAGGGTTACATCTTGTAGCTAACAATTTTCCCATTTCTGAATTAAGGCTGAAGAAACTGTGAAAATAAGAGTGGTGTGATATTTTCATTGTCAGTAGATTAACTGGATTTAGGAGATAGTATCCAGGTACCCCCATGGCCAATTTCCTTTTTCATATTCCCCCCCCCCCATAATTTCCTTTCATAATTCCCTCTGTAAGAGTGTTTTCATTCACGTGTTTTCATATGTTTCTCGTCATCACGATCCTTTCGATTTAGATAAATTAAGCGGTGTCTATTCGGGTGCCCAGACGTTCCGTTTACACTGGATTGTCCCTTTTTTGCATTATGTGTCCCGTTGTCCCGAGAAAATACGAACGAGGCAAGAAATATTCCTTTTTTTAAGTCTCCGTAGACCATTCGGGTTTTCGCTACTAAGCTATCACTTACACTTTCATCAAACGTTCATTTAATAAATTTCAAGAATAGAAAGAAATAATGTATAGGTTAATACAAAATTGTGTAATGTTCCACACATTTAAAAGTAGAGGCAATCCATGTAAAAACCTAGAGGTGGTTCTGAGTTTTGATTAGATTATACCAGGCAAAAATGCTGTATTGGAAAAAATATTTTCAATTCTGAACTCTTTCGAATGATACAAAAGGAAGTTTTAATACCGAAACGATTAAGCGATTGTAATGTTTAAGTAAGAAATTCTACCTGTTTTTAAGTAATTCCAAACTCTTTCAGATTTTAAATCTTGTGATTAGTATAAAGTTCATAGTGATGTTTCTGAATGAGAAACCACAAATTTGTTCAGCAGCTTGTTCATAAGTTGGTTGTTTTGCGTATATGAAGTAATTGTACTTGTCTCAGTGAAGCAGTGCAGTCACACATTGTTTGTAAGCTCATGTCCTGTTTTGTTCCATTTTTTCGCCAAATCTCATAAATGACCTGATTTATTTCATAAAAAAATTGGTTACCCTCCCATACATAGAACTCTGTATCAAAGGCAATAACAAGCAATAACGTATCACTAAAAAATTAATCATTTTTTTCAAACAGTGCTTCTTCGTTGACCAACCGCCTCGCCGAAGTGTTGTACGCTCCTGTCTGCCACTCTTATTTCAAGGAGCTGCAGCTGCTGCGAGAGTTGCTCTATCGCCAATCGCAGGATTTGCCTCTCGGCAAACGGAGTGACGCGCCTATCTGTGGCAGCGAGTTGACAGCCTCCTGCCAGAAAAGCGCTTCATACGAAGGTGGAATAAACGCTGTGCGTGATGACGTCATCACCACGGGCATGAACGCCAATCACGTTCTACCGCATTAAAGTACGTGGGCATTGGTCACCATACGATATCTACAGAGACCTTAAAAATTCTAAGCAAACGATACCTATTCTGGTAATCTAAGTGTGGTTCTTGCCTAAAAATTGTAAATATTGAATTATTCATCCATATTCGTATTAGAGGAGACGTCCGTTAGTAGATCGCTAAATTATATACCTACAATATCTAAGGTAAAGTATTTGTGCATAGTTTTCTCTGAAATGTTCATGTGTATCTATCATGTGATGTACCCAAGTCTTCCGCATACATAAATGTAATTGTAATATGTAAACATTGAAGAATTAATTTACATTTATCATACCCAAAATATTTCTGTGAAATTGTCAAGTAAAGAAATTTGCGCGTTTTCAGAAATTCTCAAAGAAATTCTGTAAAAGAACAGTTCGAATTTTTTCATTCAACGTTGTGCCAAGTGGTGCTAACCGCACTGAAAACACTGTGTCATTTGATGTGGTTTTGTTTTTTTTTAAAAAAATACACATTATTTCTGATGCACGTGTCGCGAGTTGAGGGGGAGAGGGAGGACCCCACAAACTCGTGCAGGAAGAAATGAGAGTATATTTTAAATAAGTTTATTGACTTAGCCGCGTAGTGGACCCTACGACCTGAGAGCGAGTGGCGTGACGACGGCTGGCTCCGGCAGATTGACGTGTAATAAGAGGGGCGAGGTGCGAAGTCCTCGCCATTTTATAGCCTCGGAACGCTGGCGTCGGCAAATGACAACTGGTCACTTGCCGACGGCAGCCTGTCGCGAGGGCCGGAAAGCCATATCGCGACACCACCCTCTCCCCGGAAAAAGGGCCGCGCTACCGCGGAATTTGATATATACATAAGATACATTACAATAGCACCAAATCTCCACCAAGCATACAATAATGCACCGAATCTGCTCTTGTTTGCAAGGGAAGAAAAAAAAACAGAGAGGAGAGAAAAAAAATATATTGAAAGGCCTTTGATGGAACCCATTGGTGAGGGCACATAGGCTGCAGCCTGCTAGTGGGAAAGATGGTTCTACCAACGTTTCCTCACCGTCATTGGTCTGCCATTGCCAAGTGCAATCCACTAGTCCAAGCACCAGGCCCTCTACTCTTCGTAGAGAGAGATGATTGTTGGGGCCTTGTTGGCTGCAGCCTGCTAGTGGGTGATACGATTTAATCAACATCTCCTCACCGTCATAGGTCTGCCTTTGTCGCCCCCTGTGCGACCGCAGCGAGTGTGCTTGGACCAAGGGTAGGAGGAGTTAGAGAATGCGGAAATGAGGGAGAGAAATAAAACCGCAAAGGGACTTAAAGAACGGGCGCTCCTCAATTAGGAGAACACCAAACGATACTGGAAAGTTAAAAAACAACAAGCCAAACAAGAAACAGTGCGTGAAGCCATTTCTAGCCGCTCGTACGCTTAGAGCGCGCCCACGGTGCAATGAAGGAGCCTTGCGCTGCAAGGAAGTGCTGACGGTGGTGGTCCCTCTCGTGCGGCTCGGCGCGTGGCGATCGCTTGCGCTCAAGCGGAACCGAGCCACAGTGCTGTCCGGCTCCGGGAGCTGAACCAGAGCAGAGGCAGGCGCGTCGTCGCGGTGCTAAGCAAGCAGAACTGTCTCTCTTAGTAGGACGTGGTTTTATTCTGCAATGAAATTTCATTAAGTACCTACTCCAGGTAAAAGAACAAAATGGGAAGGGAAAATAAATAATTGACAGAAAAGTGGGGGAATTTAGGGCTTAGGGACAGGGTTCTGTAATGATAAAGGCGATTTGGGTGGAAAAGAAAGAAATATTCCATAATTAATTCTTGCGTTGACAGCAGGTGTGCAAAGCAAGGATGAGATCACTGGAAGCGTCGCAGCTCCAGTGGTTGGGGAAGCGACAGTCTCCGGCGTTGGACAGCTGCAAAGCGACGTCGCACATTCACACATTCAGTCGTTGTCTGAAACTTGCTTAGTTGTTTGAACTTTTCTGCTCCTGCTAGCGGCGTTTGCGGCTTTAATGTGCTGCCGAGCGCGTACACTGGCCCTAATGGGTTGAAAGGAGACGAATACTGGGCAGACGAATGGCAGATCGTTTCGGTTGGCCTGACGAACTGAGTGCGAGCGTCCCCTGTAGGCGGTCAGCGAGTTGCCGGCGGCTGCTTCGGTTGGGTGTCGCCAGTGGCATTAAGAATTTGCCTGGGAATATCTGGACGAGGAAGTCGGGTTTCGGACGGGTGCTGGCTATATGGTTGCCTGTCGTCAGATGTCTGTCCTGGCTGTCCCTAGTCACCCTCTCACGGTCGTTAAATTGAGTATGAGGTGTATTTGTAAGTACAAGTACTTCGAATTATTTTTTGTGAAGTTTCTCGAAAGCTGAAAAAGGTTTGTGAAAAATGAATTCTTTCTATTAAAGACCGAATTTGCCTTCCTCGGAAGAGGGCCCGTAGGGCTTTCTCGCCGGCCTCAGGCACGCGCTTGCGGTCTGTCCTTTGGAAGTGACGGAAAATGTCTTGCTAAGATTCTTGTCTGTCAAGCCAGAGTAAGTTCTCGGCACAAGTGGCCGACGCTTGGCCGTCTTACTAAGACCTTTCTCAGGTGAAATACTCTTTTAAAAATATGTCGCATTGCCACAAGTGCCCTCTTGCAGAGACAATAACCATGGCACATATTTACAGCCAACACTAGCCGTCACGTCGGCGTAGAGGGAGTTCCTGAAGAAAGACATTCAAAAGCAAAACACAACAGACTCTGAAGCAGAAGTGAAAAGTACGTCAAAAAGTATGTACGCATTGAGGAGGGGTCACCTTGTTACGAAATTGTCAGTTGAGCCATGGGACGACAATAATTGGAAATTGTACTTACAGAAGTCTTTCGCCTCAAAGCCATTAGTTATTAATTAAATAGTGATATTCATCATTATATTCCTATTTATTTGATTAGGTTTTGTCAGTATAAGGGGGAGAGATTTTATGTGGTAAAATTAGACTGGGGTAGACGCATGTTCGTTAAGAATTCTTCGCAGGGAGAGTGTGCAAATGGCCATTTTGTGGAGGTTTTGTTTGAGGACGCCCACAGAAGCCTTCTTTCATTGCCATCGCCTGCGGGCGGTGAAGGGGAGCAAAGGGACAGGGATGAACGGGCGCGGTGTGGCGCGCCATTGCTCCGCCTCGGCCTTTAACGAAGCTCTCCCAGCCCCCCCCCACAACACACACACACAAGGAGCAGCGATTCGTCTCCGCGCCTTTCGCTGGGGGCTGTATCGCAGGGGAAATATTGCCAAACCCAACACGGTGGACATGGAGCAAATAATTTCAATTATCGAAAAATAATCTGTTGTGAAGTACAAGGGGTTTCTGTCAATTTGTCGACGTTTAACCTTTGGCCGGAAAGTGGGCGTGACTTGAGCGTGGGTGGGGCGTTGGTGCCTCGTGGAAAGCGAAAGTTGTTAAAATAGAAGGCGCTAAGGGTATGAGGGTGGGCGTGGCAGAGGGCTTAGGAGGATGAGCGTGGTCGTTAGTACTGAGGGTGGGCATGAGGTGAGTATTGAGCGTGGGCGGAGGGCGGGGTGGCGAAGGCGGCTATGGCTTATGAGGTGGGACGTGAGTGTTGGCGTGGCTGGCGCTTTGCAGCGGGGCTATGAGGGGTGGGCGTGGGCGTGAGTATATGTGTAGTGGAGGGAGTGGTGGGCGAAGGCGGAAGCTGTAATTAAGAAAAGCGTTTGTGATCTCATGAGGTGGTTTGCGTGGCTGGCGCGGTCCGTGGGCTATGAGGATGAGCGTGGTCGTTAGTACTGAGGGTGGGTATGAGGTGAAGTATTGAGCGTGGGCGGAGGGCGTGGCCAGGGGCTATGAGGGTGGGCGTGGCTGGTGCGGTGGCAGAGGGCTATGAGAGTGGTCCGTGGGTGGCGAAGGCGCTATGGGCTGTGATGGTGGGCGTGGCTGGTGCGTGAACAAATGGGACTATGAGGGTGGGCGTGAGCTGGTGCGTGGCAGGGCTATGAGGTGGGCGTGGCAGAGGCTATGGTGGCGTGGCTGGGCGTGGCGGGGGGCTATGAGAAGTGGCGTCGGGGTGGCGAAGGCGGCTATGGGATATGAGGCGTGGGCGTGGCTGGTGCGTGGGCAGGGGCTATGAGAGTGGGCGGTGGGTGGCGAAGGCCTATGGGCTGTGATGGTGGGCGTGGCTGGTGCGTGGCAAAGGGCTATGAGGGTGGCGTGGCAGGGGCTATGAGGGTGGCGTGGCTGGTGCGTGGCAGAGGGCTATGAGAGTGGGCGTGGGTGGCGAAGGCCGCCTATGGGGCCTGTGTTTTGGTGGGGCGTGGCTGCTGCGTGGCAAGGGCTAGTGAGGGTGGGCGTGGCTGGCTGCGTGGCCAGGGGCTATGAGGGTGGGCGTGGCTGGTGCGTGGCAGGGGGCTATGAGAGTGGGCGTGGGTGGCGAAGGTGCTATGGGCTATGAGGGTGGGCGTGGCTGGTGCGTGGCTGGGGGCTATGAGGAAGGCGCGTGGCGAAGGCGGTGGCTGTTAATTAAGCAGCCGAGGGAAATCCTCGGGCGACGGCGCCGCGCGCGCGCTCTGGCGAATGGATTCACAAATTCGCCTTCGCCCTCCTCCTACACTGTGGGCCCCGCAGACCGCTTCTGGGCCAAAGAGTACTCTGGGCCATTTCAACGCCCCAAGGCGAGGAGCTTCGCCCATATGCATGCACTTCCGTAATGGATTGTGCTCTTGCCAGAAATAAGAATGTTCTAAAACCTGCTCGGCAAATGAGACAAAAACTTTTTTTTGCACCTGTCTTAACGCGGTCATTTTTCTAGTTTAAAAACGGGGATACTAAAACTTTTAATTACGCTTAACTAATTTTGTATTCGTAATGTAAAGTTTGGTAGTTCCGTCAAGTTTGTTGTTTTTGTTATTATTTTTATTATTATTATTTATTATTATTATTTATTATTATTATTATTTATTATTATTATTTATTATTATTATTATTTATTATTATTATTTATTATTATTATTATTATTATTATTATTATTATTATTATTATTATTATTATTATTATTATTATTATTTATTATTATT